ATAGTATTGTTTTGAATTTCTTTTTCAATATTAGCTAGATGTGTTCGCATAGGCAGGCTAGCATTTAACTTGTTACATATGTACATAAGAGATGTTGTTTCTTTCAAGATGTATATCATATTATATACAATATCAAATAAAAGAAATGATGCTTACCTATAAGGGGAAACCCCCCCAAAAAAAAGAAAATTCAAATCAAATTTTATTTATTTAATATTTTTGTTATATTTAAAATATAAATATATTCAAGATTTTAATAATATTATTTTGATATTAAATTAGTTTTAAATTTATTATAAATTAATATTATTTTAATATTGATTTAAAACTCTAATATATTAAATTCTTTTTATAACTTGAAAACCAATTATATAAAGTGACTACAATATTTTTATATAAAAAAATATTCTTAAACAAAATATTTTTAATATTACTTTTGCTTGCTACATATCAAATCATATTTGAAAAAAAAGTGTATTAATTTTAATTATGATTTAAAAATCAATTCATATAGATTGACTATTTTAGACAACTAGATGTCATTAAGGTTTTAATATAGGTTTTGAATTTTTTTAATTATATTTCTTAAGTAATATCAATCTATTAAGTCTTGTATTAAATTCTTTTTAACAAAAAAAGACATATGTTATACTAATAAGATTATAATCTTGTACTTACAAATCTAAAATTATAATAAATTAGAATGTAATAGCTATTTGCTTCTCAAAAAAAAAAAAGATTAATAAACTGATTTGTATCAATATTATATATAAGCTTTAATCAAATTCATATACTGTATCTTTTTTGAGCAAAAATAGCCTTACATATAAAAGATTTAATGACGTTTTCTATTCAATCCGGTTGATTAGGTAACTGCAAATAATTATTTAAAGTAATTAGAATGTGTGTTGCATTCGCGTACGAAGAATTTTCTGATGGCAACGTATAAAAATTTGATCTAAATTTGAAATTTGTCATGAACAAATACTGTATTTGCATTAAATACAAAGATTAGTTTGTTCCACGTGATTAAACTTGATACCTTAATTCGAAATAGAGATAAAAATCTTTCTAGTGACTCTTGTGCAAAAAGGATTCTGACAATACCATCTCACAATCCAGAAAATTTAGCCAGGAGGATTCTGACAAATAAAGGTGAAACAAGAGAGTGTTATATAAATTTATTACAATATATTGTTCTTCGATTTGCATTACGATCTGCAAAAGAACAAGGTTTCATATTTACGAATGGAATTCACTTCTTAGTAGCCATAGTATTGACCATTTACCGTAATGTTAAAAAATAAAGGAAGAAGAACAATGTAATGCTAATTTAGTCCCGAAAATCATAATATTATATAAATGTGATGATTTTTTTAATTCACAATTCTCTATTCAAAACACATTAATTAATTGCATGCTGTGCCACAAAAAAAAAACTGTTTATATTTAATAAGATCGGTCTCACAGGCATACGAAACATGACAATGCGTAGCCAATATTGTTTTATTTGCATAGCTGTTTCGTCAATTTCAGTACAATCCTTGTGCGTGCGGGCCAAACTGTAACCACCGAGGCAAACTCTGACCCCATAAGAGATATTACAATGAATTTTCGAAATTTTTGTTATAAATATGCCCAATTTTCTCTTTCTTTTTTCCTCAGTTCAAATAAAATTCTTGAAGAATTTTAACTAAAAAAAAAAAAAATTCAGTTTTTTAACACACGAAATTTAAATTCTTAAAATACCTCCAACTTCTCTTTTTTTAAAAAAAAAAATGAATCCCACTATCATTTCTACTACCACCACCACTACTGGTGTCACAGAAAAGCCGTCAGGAGGTGACCCAACCAACCAATGTTCTATAATGAATTCCTCTGGTTTCGTCCTTGGTGTCACAGAAAAACCGGCAGGTGACCCAACTAACCAATGCTCCATCATGTAAATCGCGTCGCAAAAGCTCCTCCGCCGAAACCGTAAGAATTAAAACTTCGCCGGTCTTTAATTTGGAACCTTATCTCGACGGAATACACATTTAAAAATTTCGCGTTAATTTACTGGGTTTTGCAACTTAATGTTTCATTATTTTATAGTATTTTTTTTAATTCCTTAATGTTATTCTGTCTTTATTAGTTTTTTCTTAAGAGTATCTAGTATCTGGAATCTGGATATTTCTAATCTGTATCTTTTATTAATGACATACACAATTTTTGCTAGATTTTGGATGTCAAGACTATTGCATTTCACTCTTGGAAATGTTCCTTTAAATAAACTTATTGTTTTCGAAAAATTTAAAAAGTGCAATATGACAAGTTCCTAAGTGTTTCCCACTTTTGTGGTCATATAACTATTTACAAGCTGAAAATAAGTTCGTGAACGGTGATTCTTTTTGATCTTGAAGTTGATACGAAATTTATCTCTTAACAGTCAATAAAATTATGCAAACGATGTATTATAATATAGATATCTTGCGAATTTTCTATTTATCCCCATTTACACCTAGTATCTGCCTATTAACCAAATCATAATAAAGACCACGTTTTGCTATTAAATCGAAATGTTTGCCTTGCTCTGCGATTTTTCCCTTCTTTACCACCAATATTAAATCAGCGTTCTGTATGGTTGACAATCTGTGTGCAATAGTTACCGTCTATTATAAAAAGAAAATGAATATTAAAATAAAAATATTTCAATGAGGTCGAAAAGAGAGTGAAAGTACCGTGCGTTGAGCAGATGCCCTGTCTAGAGCATTTTGTACGATCTTTTCAGACTCAGAATCCAGGGCTGATGTGGCCTCATCGAGTAATAACAATTTTGGATTTCGAATCAATGCTCTCGCTATAGCGATACGCTATTAATTTCAAGAATCATTATTTACTAGATTGCTTAAATAGCGACCGACAGACTTTCAAAGTTACCTGTTTCTGACCACCACTTAGTTGTGTACCTCGCTCCCCAACTGGTGTATTATACCCTTCTGGTAAACTGGAAATAAAAGTATGTATATTCGCCTTCTTTGCTGATTCCAAAATCTCTTCTTGAGTACATTCTTCTTTTCCATAGGCAATATTCTCTCCAATAGTTAAATCAAACAACACAGGCTCCTGACCAACTAATGCCATGTTTCTTCGCAAATATTCCAAGTTCCATTGTTTTACATTTACATTTTCCATGTTAACTTCACCACTCTGTACGTCATAAAACCGAAGTAGTAAGGAAATTACAGTGGATTTGCCCGAACCAGATCCACCAACTAGTGCTACGGTTTGACCGGGTGATATGGATAAATTAAGGCCGCAGTGGATTTTTATATTGGGACGAGCAGGATAGTTGAAGTAGGCGTCTCGAATATTCGCGGAGCCGGTAACAGGAGTTGGACGGTCTTTACCTTCGTTTTGAGTTGGGTCGATTCGAGAATGATGATCAAGAATTTCAAAAATCGAGAGGGCAGCAATTTTGGCTTTCGCGGAATTTGGCGCAAAAGTGCTAATTATAAGCAGAAGTGTTAACTTTTTTACCTTTAAATGGATATGTCATCTTCTCATGGAAGATCAAATCATAAATTACCTCGCTTGTCCGGCAGCAATTGAGCTGAATACAATGGCAAAAAGAACCTTCATCATTTGTTTCATATTATATTCTTGATTTTCGATCAGCCTTTCTCCATACCAGAAAGCTAAGGCATAAACAAAAAACATTGCCCCTTGTGACAAACCAAATCCAATTGACGAAATGATGCTTCCCTTAAGGGAAATTCGATGTGGTTTCCGGATGGAAGTTTTGTAGAGGTCTTTGAAAGTGTCTTCGCGAGTCAATGATGCGATGGTTCGAATATTAGAGACGCTTTGTTGTACGATTTGACCACTTTCTTCATATGCTTTAGCTGTCTTTTCATTTTACGAAAAGGAGAATGAGTGTGGAAAGTAATAATAGATTATATAAAATCGAATCCATTGAAAATTAGACAGTTACCTTGGCACCAAAACCAGCCAATGCTTTCATTTGAATGTATCCAGAGATGAGAATGGCTGGGGTTATTGCGAGGACGACTAATGCTAGCTTCCAACCAGATGCAAACGCGATGATCTTAAACGCGAAAAAATAATTCATTTCTTCATTCTCTAATAAAGAATGTTTATCCTTAAGAAAAATACACACCATTCCCGCAATCATATTGGTCCCCGTCTGCAATATACTGCCCATAAGTGTCCCCGTTAACCCTTCCACTCTTGAAGCATCTAACGCCAATTTAGAGGTCAATATGCCCGTACTGTTCCTCTCATCATCGAAATATCCAATGTCTTGTTTGAGAAGTTTTTCAAACGTTATCGTACGAAGACGTTTTGTAAGCCTTTCACCGGAAAGAATGAAGAGGAAATTTTGAAAAAAATTGGCGAGAAATGAAGCAATGCCTAATAAAATAAACATTAAGGCCCAGAAGTTTGCATCGTGGCGAAGTTCATGAGGCCTATTTTAGGAAAAAATTATGTTAATAAATGACATTTTTTTTTATATAGATGACGAGTGAAACCTAATGAGATACCTATCAATTTTTGAGAATACATCCAGTAAAGTAGCAAAGATAATTGAAAAAAGGGGCATAATTGTTCCTAATTAAAAAATAAGAAGCAATTTATATATTAATGTAAAGATTTGAGAAAGAAACTTCAAATTATAAAATTACCGTTTATAGCTGCACTAACAGCTCCGAAGAACATCAATACATATTCGGGTCTTTGCAATTTAAAGACCCGAGTAAACGGCGCTGGTTGTTTAGCCTTTTCCTTGAATTCTTTCTCTATAATGGATTTTGTGATTGATTCATTTGTGGAAATCTTACATAAAGCCATTTCTAGTCTTTTCTCATCTTCAACTGTTATTTTTATGTTATTGTTATCACGCTTATAATCCAACAAATCTTCGTCCTTCTCATCTTCAGGGAATAATACTGATTTCGAGGTATCTCCTTTAGTCTTTAATTCTTGAGCTTGCACTAATCCATAGTATACTCCACGCTTGGAAATTAATTCTTCGTGATGACCAACCTCAAGAATCTCTCCTTTAGACATGACTACAATTTTGTCAACATTTTTTATAGTAGAAAGACGGTGAGCTATCACTATAGTCTATCGTAAATCGAAAAGAAATACACGGAAATTAATAATTGATTCCTAAAAAATAAATTAACTATAGAAATAATTAACCGTTCGATTAGATGACGCTGCATCTAAAGCTTCCTGGACTAAGCGCTCAGATTCCGTATCTAAAGCAGAAGTGGCTTCGTCAAGTAGTAATATCGGGGGGTCTTTAATTAAAGCTCGAGCAATTGCAATTCTAAACAATTAACATGTGAATGTTACTAAGAAATTTAGTAACTTAGTCATATTCTTTAATTACCTTTGTTTCTGACCTCCAGACATCAAAGATCCCTTCTCGCCAACATTTGTATCATATTTATTTGGTAAATCATTAATAAATTCGTGTGCATTAGACTTCTTGCACGCCTCAATAATCTCGTCTAAATCGGCTTCCGGGGTATCAGGGGCCGTTCCCCACGCTATATTCTGTCGAATACTCTCCGGAAATAAAACTGGTTCCTGTCCGACAAGGCCTATTTGCGCTCTCAATGATTTAATATTAATATCATTAATGTTTTCACCATCAAGGAATATCTGCCCCTTAGTAGGGTTATAGAATCTTTCTAACAAGCCGACAATAGTGGATTTTCCGGAACCAGAACCACCAACTAGTGCTATTGTTTGACCGGCTTCGATGTCAAGATTGAAGTTTTTGAGGACTTGAACGTCGGGTCGTGATGGATAATAGAAATCAATATTTCTAAATTCCAGTCTTCCTTTAACCGATGATTTCGTAAGTTTTGTACCCGAGGGATCGGCGGAATTGATAACGGGCACTCTGTCGATAACGCTGAAGAGGTTTTTTGCTGCACCGAGAGAATTTCCAATTGCCGAAATATTTGGTGAAGCATGACCAAGTGATATAGCTACAGTATGTAAAAAACACGTAATTTAAATGATTGTTCATAATAAATTACATTAAAAAATAATTTACTTTACATACCACCGATGAGAATAGAAAAGAATACGTTCAACACTTGTCCACCATTGAGCTTTCCATCCACAACTAATATACTTCCATACCAAAATGCTAGTCCAAAAGCACAAAAAACGATAAACAATATAGACGCCAGGCTTACTCCAGTAATAGCAGCCTTCTTTCGACCCGCGAAGTAAGCAACTTGCAATTTGCTGACATATCGCCGTAGCTCGCGCTCTTGACCACCGAACGCGGTTACAGTACGAATGCCGGAGAGGACTTGTTCTGCCACTGAACCGGCTGCCGCATAGGCATCTGTCGATTCGAGGAAGAGTAAGGTAAAGCAAAGAATTAGATTTTATGAATAAATGTATAAAATTGGTTGCAAAATAAAATAAATACCTTGTCCTTGTAGGGTTGAGGCCGCAAGTAATTTACCCATAAAACCACCAGTGATTGCCAAAAGCGGAAACACTTAGAAAACGAGTTCGTGAAGAAGATTAGAATTTAAAATAAATAAATAAATTAATTTAAGCATTAATTTAAGAAATGTATACCAGAACATAAAACAAGCGTAAGTAGCCATCCTAAAATTTACGAATAGTTAAAATAAATAATTAATTAATTTAAAAGAATTATATCTTTCGCTCACCCTTAGTAAATCCAATAATAAACCCAGTGATAAAAGTAGAAACATATTGTATTACTAAACCAACTTTCTCAGAGATACCCTCCTGAAAAAGGTTGATGTCGGAGGAAATACGAGTTATTATGTCACCAGTAGAAACAGAATCAAAGAAGGAGATATCTTGGCGTAAGATTGCCTCGTAGTATATTTGACGAACGCGCTATTAATAGGATAAGTTTGATATTATTGCTTTACGATAAAAATAATGAATCAAACATTGTAATACCTTGGCTTGCCTCTCTCCTAAAATCATCCATATTGCCATCTGTTTATAAGAAATAGCTAATACTACTACCCCAAGAATCAAAAATAATTTCACCTTTGACATTATCGTACTATACAAATTATCCGCAGCTGCCTCAGTAAAACCATTTTCTCTAACTGATAATGTGAACATCGAGAATGCTTGTATTGCATCTGAGAAGATAATAGTCAACAAAGGCATAGCAGCTCCATTGAGTAATGCCAATATAGTTCCTAAAGCAACGATGGCTCGATCAAACGGAGTTGCATAACGAAATAATTGTAAGAAGGTAATGTCTTCTTGAGATTCCTTGGTTTTAGGATTTGACGTGAGGTCTGTTTTTGAGTTGCTTTCTTGGTGATAAGACATTTTAAAAACAAAATTTTAAAGGAAATTTAAATCTAAATAGAATCGATTATTAATTTATTGCATAGTTTGAAGAATGATTCTTAAAATTCTTGAAACCCATTAAATAATTGAATTATCTGTGTATGCTCGATTATCAAAGATTTATTTTGTCGCTCGAATGTCTCTTACCGTAATATCTTTTAAATAAATGAAAAAACAAAAATAATCAAGAAGGCACAAGATCAATGCAAAAGATATTCTTTATTTCGATAGACAACGATCTAGCAGTTGTACAAAACGCGCAGTTTCATAAACGCGACACCTTTCTGGAAATGCCGACTCCATATCTCTTCTAGTGCAACTGCGAAATAACGTGTCATTGAATAACTATCAGTTCAATAGTGAACTAATGTCTATCTGTCTAGATTTCATGGGAACTCCTAAGTTTGAATTGGATGTGCAAAAGCTTTCTTTAATGATAAGATTTTTGGTCTTACGTCTTAAACTAGAACTGGCTAACAATGTCACATGATCGGCACTAAGACTGACAGTCTTAAAGTCTTGAATATTATTACTAATACTTATGTATTTAATTTAAAGTCTAAACTTAGTAAGCTTTATCCAAGTTTCACGAAAAAATATTTCAACATGATGATAGATGTAAATCAGTGCCAAATTTAAGAAGTATTGTACAAAGATTATCTATTTGAATCAAAAAATATTAAGCAAAGTTAACTATTGTATTAAAATCCATTATATGTTGAAAAATCAAAGCATTAAATAAATTATTTATTAAAATTCATAATTATTTATAATTATAAATTTTTTAAAACAGTATGATTTTCAAATTTTATTTTATTAACTATTGATTAATAAACTTTTGCAATAAAATTTATAATAATAATAATAGTTAAACTTTTTTTTTTTTAAAAAAACTAAGGTGACATCAGCCTTTTCTTTTATTTATAAGAGATTACTGGAAAGCAATACTATAATTACAGAAGATTAAACTACATTTCTCTTTGCTAAGAAGAGTTTAATACATAACACAAAAAATTGGTCATTCTATCTTAGTTTAATTAATCACTCAAGCAATAGAAAAAAACAATGAAAATCCTATAAGCTCTTGAGTAATGGCCAGTCCGGGCCTGGCATATTTGTGTGGTACCTAAATACATGAAGGTACTGCAGCTAAATATACAGGTTAGCCTCCAAGTCATAACTAGGATTTGTATACTTGCTTTTCAGCTTTGGCTTGATATATAGCAAGTGGAGAGTGGAGTAGAAAAAAGTTGATTTTTTTATACATAAAGGTATTGCAGTCACTTTTTACAGGTTGGCCTCCAAGTCATATAAAGAATTTGGCATACTCATTTTCCAAGTATGGCAGAAGTGTCCAATGGATAGAATTGGATTGGAATTTCTTAAAGACATTGTTACCTAACCATATACATGGATCTACATTGTCAAGAAATAAATAAAAAACTTCTGTTGTCAATACCAGCTCTGTTTGCAGGAGTAACTAGAATCCCTAGTTATCATGTGTCATCTTACTAGATATTCCAAACACCAGCATGATACTTATAAAATTCTATATTAACATTAACTATCATATAACTGGATACAGTGGGACACAACTCCCTGGAAATTCAGATAACAATAGTTGTACATATACATGTGGCATAAATTATTTTGCTGTTGACTCAATTCCCAAAATCCTCAAAAATAATTGCGTCATGACTCAA